ATTAAATTTAAAATTAAGACCTATTTATTACATCGGTGATCCGTTTATTTGGCAATCGCCAATGGCAGTCAGCAGGGTTTAAGAACATTTGTTGTTCGACCTGTTAGTCAAATGCGTATTGTTAAAATATACTTTCTCACTTTTTTGGTCTTTTGGAAAAAGTTGTTTGTGCTGTATTTAGACCCCTCTAACAAGAAATTTGTTTTGCATGCACACGTATAAAAATTGCGATTTTTATCCAACGCAATCATAGGTTTGAACGTAGTTTTCAATTTAGACTTGTTTATATTTTTTCGTTTGGGCTTGTATTATATTTGCCTTCGGGTTTATATGATCCGTTCATCCTATTTTGACTCCTCAAAATTCAAGAGTCTATCCTAAATTGAGGTAAATTGTATTGCTTTCCAAATACTGTTTCGATTCCTAACATCACTGAAGAGACATTAATTGTCGAAATCCGGATATGGTGTACTAAAACCTGTGCACCTTTTATTTGCGGTATACCATCTTTTCCGCAAGTTTATTGTTTTCTGTTTAGTATTAAATTTAAAATTAAGACCCATTTATTACATCGGTGATCCGTTTATTTGGCAATCGCCAATGGCAGTCAGCAGGGTTTAAGAACATTTGTTGTTCGACCTGTTAGTCAAATGCGTATTGTTAAAATATACTTTCTCACTTTTTTGGTCTTTTGGAAAAAGTTGTTTGTGCTGTATTTAGACCCCTCTAACAAGAAATTTGTTTTGCATGCACACGTATAAAAATTGCGATTTTTATCCAACGCAATCATAGGTTTGAACGTAGTTTTCAATTTAGACTTGTTTATATTTTTTCGTTTGGGCTTGTATTATATTTGCCTTCGGGTTTATATGATCCGTTCATCCTATTTTGACTCCTCAAAATTCAAGAGTCTATCCTAAATTGAGGTAAATTGTATTGCTTTCCAAATACTGTTTCGATTCCTAACATCACCGAAGAGACATTAATTGTCGAAATCCGGATATGGTGTACAAAAACCTGTGCACCTTTTATTTGCGGTATACCATCTTTTCCGCAAGTTTATTGTTTTCTGTTTAGTATTAAATTTAAAATTAAGACCCATTTATTACATCGGTGATCCGTTTATTTGGCAATCGCCAATGGCAGTCAGCAGGGTTTAAGAACATTTGTTGTTCGACCTGTTAGTCAAATGCGTATTGTTAAAATATACTTTCTCACTTTTTTGGTCTTTTGGAAAATGTTGTTTGTGCTGTATTTAGACCCCTCTAACAAGAAATTTGTTTTGCATGCACACGTATAAAAATTGCGATTTTTATCCAACGCAATCATAGGTTTGAACGTTGTTTTCAATTTAGACTTGTTTATATATTTTCGTTTGAGCTTGTATTATATTTGCCTTCGGGTTTATATGATCCGTTCATCCTATTTTGACTCCTCAAAATTCAAGAGTCTATCCTAAATTGAGGTAAATTGTATGGCTTTCCAAATACTGTTTCGATTCCTAACATCACTGAAGAGACATTGATTGTCGAAATCCGGATATGGTGTACAAAAACCTGTGCACCTTTTATTTGCGGTATACCATCTTTTCCGCAAGTTTATTGTTTTCTGTTTAGTATTAAATTTAAAATTAAGACCCATTTATTACATCGGTGATCCGTTTATTTGGCAATCGTCAATGGCAGTCAGCAGGGTTTAAGAACATTTGTTGTTCGACCTGTTAGTCAAATGCGTATTGTTAAAATATACTTTCTCACTTTTTTGGTCTTTTGGAAAATGTTGTTTGTGCTGTATTTAGACCCCTCTAACAAGAAATTTGTTTTACATGCACACGTATAAAAATTGCGATTTTTATCCAACGCAATAATAGGTTTGAACGTTGTTTTCAATTTAGACTTGTTTATATTTTTTCGTTTGGGCTTGTATTATATTTGCCTTCGGGTTTATATGATCCGTTCATCCTATTTTGACTCCTCAAAATTCAAGAGTCTATCCTAAATTGAGGTAAATTGTATGGCTTTCCAAATACTGTTTCGATTCCTAACATCACTGAAGAGACATTAATTGTCGAAATCCGGATATGGTTTACAAAAACCTGTGCACCTTTCATTTGCGGTATACCATCTTTTCCGCAAGTTTATTGTTTTCTGTTTAGTATTAAATTTAAAATTAAGACCCATTTATTACATCGGTGATCCGTTTATTTGGCAATCGCCAATGGCAGTCAGCAGGGTTTAAGAACATTTGTTGTTCGACCTGTTAGTCAAATGCGTATTGTTAAAATATACTTTCTCACTTTTTTGGTCTTTTGGAAAATGTTGTTTTAACTGTATTTAGACCCCTCTAACAAGAAATTTGTTTTGCATGCACACGTATAAAAATTGCGATTTTTATCCAACGCAATCATAGGTTTGAACGTTGTTTTCAATTTAGACTTGTTTATATTTTTTCGTTTGGGCTTGTATTATATTTGCCTTCGGGTTTATATGATCCGTTCATCCTATTTTGACTCCTCAAAATTCAAGAGTCTATCCTAAATTGAGGTAAATTGTATGGCTTTCCAAATACTGTTTCGATTCCTAACATCACTGAAGAGACATTAATTGTCGAAATCCGGATATGGTGTACAAAAACCTGTGCACCTTTTATTTGCGGTATACCATCTTTTCCGCAAGTTTATTGTTTTCTGTTTAGTATTAAATTTAAAATTAAGACCCATTTATTACATCGGTGATCCGTTTATCTGGCAATCGCCAATGGCAGTCAGCAGGGTTTAAGAACATTTGTTGTTCGACCTGTTAGTCAAATGCGTATTGTTAAAATATACTTTCTCACTTTTTTGGTCTTTTGGAAAATGTTGTTTGTGCTGTATTTAGACCCCTCTAACAAGAAATTTGTTTTGCATGCACACCTATAAAAATTGCGATTTTTATCCAACGCAATCATAGGTTTGAACGTTGTTTTCAATTTAGACTTGTTTATATTTTTTCGTTTGGGCTTGTATTATATTTGCCTTCGGGTTTATATGATCCGTTCATCCTATTTTGACTCCTCAAAATACAAGAGTCTATCCTAAATTGAGGTAAATTGTATTGCTTTCCAAATACTGTTTCGATTCCTTACATCACTGAAGAGACATTAATTGTCGAAATCCGGATATGGTGTACAAAAACCTGTGCACCTTTTATTTGCGGTATACCATCTTTTCCGCAAGTTTATTGTTTTCTGTTTAGTATTAAATTTAAAATTAAGACCCATTTATTACATCGGTGATCCGTTTATTTGGCAATCGCCAATGGCAGTCAGCAGGGTTTAAGAACATTTGTTGTTCGACCTGTTAGTCAAATGCGTATTGTTAAAATATACTTTCTCACTTTTTTGGTCTTTTGGAAAATGTTGTTTGTGCTGTATTTAGACCCCTCTAACAAGAAATTTGTTTTGCATGCACACGTATAAAAATTGCGATTTTTATCCAACGCAATCATAGGTTTGAACGTTGTTTTCAATTTAGACTTGTTTATATATATTTATATATATAACAAGTCTAAAAGGGTACAACATCACCAAAAAATAATAATAAAATGAACAAACGTTAATATATATATATGATTTCGAATCCCGGCGAGGGAAGAACAAAAAAATTGCGAAAGCAAATTTACAGACCTATCATTGTTGGGCTGATGTTTAGACGAGTTGTATATACAGAATGTACACAGCCATGTATCACCATCACTGCTGGTGATCCGATGGATAAATCTGTGGTAGAGTTGTCATTGGTTCAGACGTACTTATAAATATAACTATTTCTGTGACTGTATCTTGCATTAATTTGTAGGATCCTTTACAATAGATATTTCAGCTGATCTGTAACAATTCCATCTTCATGCCTTATATATCATGTACTGTATTACGACGCTAGATTAAAACTGACGAGGAAAGGTAACACCCGGCCACTGAATGCTTTATTTGAAGCCTAGGTGGTCGTGTGGTCTAGCGCGTCGGATACAGTGCAGGCGATTTGGTGTCACGATATCTCAGTAGCACGAGTTCGAATCCCGGCGAGGGAAGAACAAAAAAATTGCGAAAGCAAATTTACAGACCTAACATTGTTGGGCTGATGTTTAGACGAGTTGTATATATATATATATATATATATATATATATAAAGTGCCTAGAAAATCAACCTAACAATGTTAGAGTAGATTTGATTCTTTACTTCCTCCCCGGCAGGGGCTGGAACCTGTACTTTTCACTTCATACTTCTACGACAACACCGCCTAGCATTGCGCAGACGCCTTATCCCCTCCTCTAACTGTAGCTGATAAAAATCAGCTTTCGTTTCGGGAGGTGTTACCTTCCCGTAGGAATTAAACAAGGACATCTAGACGCAATACACAAAGTATTTTTAAGTGTACAGAAATGATCATCTACTCATCTCTTCAGGATGCTGTTCTATTTTTAGAAGCATACAATCACTGTAAATTTATATATCTAAATACAGCACAAACAACATTTTCCAAAAGACCAAAAAAGTGAAAAAGTATATTTTAACAAAACGCATTTGACTAGAAGGTCGAACAACGGATGTTCTTAAACCCTGCTGACTGCCATTGGCGATTGCCAAATAAACGGATCACCAGATGAAACAAAATGGATCTTAACTATTAATTTAATACCAAACAGAAAACAATAAACTTGCGGAAAAAGATGGTATACCGCAAACAAAAGGTGCAAAAATTAGTACACCATATCCGGATTTCGTATATATATAGTGTATATGCTTTATGTCTTTTATTTTCCCGTTTAAAGGGTGGTATGCGATGTCAGATATGAAATAAAGATCATAATAAAAACTCTGCTTCTTCCTTTTTCAATGATTTTGCAAAGTACTTTTAATCATGCGAATTCATGTATTACATTTTTGCGATCCAACATCCATGCATTTGTATGTCCTGGTTTAAATATTGTTAATGTTTTACACTTACATTTTCTATTTTTAGCGCAACATGGATCCAATGTTGTCTTTTGTGCAAATGATGGTATGTTTTTTATTATAATGTCTTGTATTTATTTTCTCTACACAGATAATAATGCAACACTGAAGGAAGCCTAAGGTGGTACCAAACACCTCGACTAAAATTAATTTGGCTCGTTTAATTTTCATAAAATTTTGACAAAATATTTACTTTGACCCTTTGACAAAAATATAAAAAAATCAAAAAACTTGAACCACACACTTTATCGGAAAAATTTCATTGGCTATATAGCAGTTTGACAAACACTAATTTTGATCATCGAGAAGCTTGATATTTCCTTAACAATAGAACGTGATTAAAATGTTCAGCTGATTTTTACAGAGTTATCTCCCTGTAGTGTTATGTACCACCTTAAGGATGTTCGCTACTCTGTTTCAAAATAACAAGCTTTTTAAAAGACTGTTATGAATTGAAAGTATATGAATAAAGGAATTTAAAAAGCAGAAAAAATGAAGGGTCCGTGTGCTTGTTTTCAAGATATAAGCCATTAAATTTTGGCGGGAAGTGATTCTCTCTTGATTTTTCATACACTTAACATTGGCACCTTTTTTCGTTCAAAAGCTATGGAAAAATAACAAGGATTTTATAAGATTTTCAAATATTGCTTTTTAAACTATATGTAATAAAACTATAAAAAGAAAAGTAGGGGTTTGCGGGCAAAAGTTGTTTTTTGTCAACACAGGCTTGCTCTGTTTGATGGGATGAAGGAATAACAAACAACATTATGTATGAATTGAAAACTGTCATTTAATATTAAAATGACGAAGAATCAACAAAATGATAAACATGTATAATTAAATCAATAAATCATATTTATAAACAACATATATGTTTATAATGACTTTATTGACCCATTCCATAAAAGATGGGGTTACATTCGAATATAACACTGACATCTTGTATATCAAAGTAAAAATATGTATGTGCCTTACCGAATAATGTTGAATAACAATACTCCAATTAAATAAAGTTAAAATATGTCAATTTTAAAATGATTTATTTTGAAAATAATATATTATTGAAATGAGTTATCAAGGGAGGGATGGTGGGTACAATTTCAGTTCCACATTTGTCCTGCCACTTTCTATCTGCACTGAAGCGCCTTCTGAGATCAGATTACATTATCAGGGGAAGGAACTAAGTATTAGCATTTCTCCAATATAAAGTCAAAGAGTTATTCCGCTTTCTATAGTATCGCCAAGTTTGCCGAAAAATCATTTTTAATAAAAAATTAGCATTTTTGTCAACACAGGCTTGCTCTGTTTGATGGGACGGAAAAATGACAAACAACATTATGTATGAATTGAAAACTGTCATTTATTATTAAAAATGACGAAGAATCAACAAAATAAAAACATGTATAATTAAATCAATAAATCATATTTATCAACAACATATATGTTTATAATGACAAAACCTTATTGACCCATTCCATCAAAGATGGGGTTACATTCGCCATCATATTGTTACACAAAACCTTCCTTGTAACAATATCCCCCATCCAAGCCTGTGACAAAACATTTCAGAAACAATGAGGCCCAACTACCAAATGAAATTCACTATGAATCTAAATTATCTACATCTAAGAGGTTTCATTCATGATTCTATGATTATAACATGTACATGTATTGACCGATTTCAACATTGCTGCCAGAGGCCCATGTCCCCATGGCAACCAACGTCAAATATACATAATTTACCTAAATTTACCATTTATATCAATATATATTTTTTATTTTTATGTTAGTAATTAAGTAAAAATCGTTTTTATTCGTTTCATGTCAATATAACTATGTTGATATGTTACCAAACAGTTTTGTGTGCTTAATTTCGCGAAAGATATTAGTATTTCCCACATAGTGTATTACAGTGCGTAATGTTATAGTCATTAAACTTTAGGGGATTCCAAAATTTTACTGACATCCGTATTGTCTGCAATGACAGACGGGGATGATTCATTACTGTTGGTTTAATGAACTTTTCGAAAATCGGGTTATTCGGATGCATCATTACAACCTTTATAATGACTTATGACATTTATATATAATATCTATGTCCTCTCAGATATCGTTACTCTTAAAAATATTTAAGGATTGCCAGAGGCCCATGTCCCCAATTCAACCAACACCCAACAAAAAAAAATCATATTAACAACACAACACAATATTACACCTTAAGTCTGCAATGTACACAGGATTGAACAGAAAGAGGCCCATGTCCCGATTTCATTTATTCCGCTTTCTATAGTATCGCCAAGTTTGCCAAAAAATCATTTTTAATAAAAATTAGCATAATGGCAATGCATGGATTAAACCAGAGGATTCCGAATATCTGGTAAAAAAATTCAAAATCAAGAGGAGCGAACATCCTTAAAACGAAAATAATATGATGGGGTTTACAGAATAGAGAATGAAGTGCAGACAATAAAGAAAAAGAAAAAAATGATAATGGAAAAAAAAAATCCAAACCCTTATCAAAGCTTCTAACACGATAATTGATGTAATGTTCGTATCATTTCGAATGATCGCCATCATGATCGATACTGAAAAAATACATTTTAAAAAAAATGGCAATTTTTGACATTTTCATACCGCTTAAAATTGAAAGATTTGAATTACTGTGGTGGCTAGTTACGGTCATTTCACGCTTTCACCTTTGATGCTTCATAAAGCCCCCCCCCCCCCCCCCCCCCCAAAAAAAAAAAAAAAAAAAAAAAAAAAAACCAACAAAAACGTGAAGACGAGAACACAAAATCGTAAAACGGGAAATGGCCATAGCAAACTACCATAAATGACGTTTCTGTTTTTCGATAGAGGATGAGGGAAAACAAACTGAAAAAGAACTTCAAGAAGAAACTGGCAATAACGAGATTACATTTGTGTATGGCAACGTGACACAGGACGATGATGTCAAGGTCAGTTCTTCTTAAAGTTATTTGTTTTACTATTGATCAACTTGGAGAAACACACTACATGAATTGCCTTCCGACTTATTCTAAAACACAAGTTAATGCTCAAAGAGGACTCTGTCTCTTTGTGTATGACATGTAAGAACGAATGAAAAACACAATGTGTGATTCAGAGGGGGAAAACTTCATTGTATTGTGAAAACCTGATTCGAAATCCTACTTTGTGTCCTTATTTTATCCCGTATTGATATCGGTTTAGCGGGACAATCATGTGAAAATAGAGTAAGAAGATAGAACATCATATACAACTGAGGGTGGTGTTTCGGAAGGGTACTGAATCAGTTCCTACTCCACTAATGGTGCCCGTTGTGTTTGTTAAAGTAACCATCCGGTGATCAGTTGCATTCTGTAATATGTCATTTCCGAGGACTGAATGATGAATATGGAGATATATTTTGTAACGATCGACCAAGATATATGGTGGCGTCCGTAAAAAAGTGAGAACTTCAACTTTACCATTTACAACGATTGGTGTAGTAGCTTCTTTTTAAGCAGTATATCGCATAAACGCGAGGAAAACTAACGCTATAGCCCCCTTTATAAAAATAGAATTTAATATAAAACGAAATTCTATCCTATTCAGGATGAATGTTAAATTAAATTCCATCCTTATCAGTGTGGATGTTAAAGTGTTAATTTTTTTCAGCGGGTCATATCGACGGCCATAGAAAAATACAAACGAATTGATTGTCTCATCAACAATGCTGGAACACGTAAGTTTGAATGACTGACTGACTGACTGACTGACTGAATGAATGGATGAATGAATGAATGAATGAATGAATGAATGAATGAATGAATGAATGAGTGAGTGAGTAAGTGAATGAATAAATGAATGAATGAATAAATGTGACTGGCTGACTGACTGACTGACTGACTGACTGACTGAATGTGACTGTCTGACTGAATGACTGACTGACTGAATGAATGTGACTGACTGACTGACTGACTGTGACTGACTGTGACTGACTGACTGACTGACTGACTGTGACTGACTGAATGAATGAATAAGCGGGTGAATGAATGAATGAATGAATGAATGAATGATTGATTGAATGAATGTGACTGACTGACTGACTGACTGACTGACTGACTGACTGAATGTGACTGTCTGACTGACTGAGTGACTGAGTGACTGAGTGACTGACTGACTGACTGACTGACTGACTGACTGACTGACTGACTGAATGGATGAATGAACGAATGAATGAATGAATGAATGAATGAATGAATGAATGAATGAATGAATGAATGAATGAATGAATGAATGAATGAATGAATGAATGAATGAATTAGCGGTTGAGTGATTGAATAAATGGACGAACGAACGAACGAACGATAGAACGAACGAACGAACGAACGAACGAATTGAATGAAAGAATGAGTGAGCGAATGAAAATGAGTGAATGAATAAATGAATGTTTGAATGAATGAATGAATGTGACTGACTGACTGACTGAATAATTTAATGAATTATAAACGAATGAATGAAGAAAGAATGAATGAATGAACGAAAGAAACAATGAGTGAATGAGTGAAAATGATTGAATGAATGAATAAATGAACGAAAGAACGAGTGATTGAGTGAGTGAAAATGAGTGAATGAATGAATGAATGAATGAATAAGGGAGTGAGTGAAAATGAATGAATGAATGAATGTGTACGTGCATGCATGCGTGCGTTCGTCCAGATATAAAACAGGTCATAGTGAACTCTTTTAGCAAAAGAAGTATTGAATCGGGGTTCTGTGTATTCATATTCGGGTGAAACACAATAATGGGGACATTTACAATTGGTCTTTGTTATGTAAGCTCTACAGCTAACTTAAATATATTTGGATGCCAGTTTTTCTGTTTTTAATATTTGACATTGAATGTTTTAACCTCATTCAAAATTTTAAGATTCTATCTTGAATAGTTTTTGAACACCAGTGAGATTAGTGGTCCAAAAAATGGTCATTTTCAGACGTTATGCGGTTGCGCTTCAAACTTTACATTTTTTGTATCTTTAAAATCTTTTTAACAGTTAGTGTAAGGATAATTTCTCATGGTATCATTTACAGATTATTAAATGGCGATTAAAATGATTCCAACATTACAAAAATCGGAGCTAATTTAAAAATTTAACAATTGTAAAAGTGGTGCTTCGTTATACATTTTTCAATTTATTAAGTGTTGATCATTCATGGCCCTGAAAATAAAACTAATTGCAAGATTATTCATTAAATATGTATGTCAACATACTCGCATATAATAATACTAAAATAAAATACAGTTATATATAAATGATATCATTCATACAGAATATTTTTGAAATTTTCAAAGTAAAAAAAAAAAAATTAAAAAAAAAAGTGTAGTGTCCGTAACCAGCTTATTATAATTTTCAAGAAAGAATAGCTACAGTAAACAACAAGCTATTTTTCTTTATAGATTTGACACTTAACACTAACATAATAACAAAATTTTGCACCTTCTTATTAGAATTTAGACAGAATAAATGAAAATTTGGTTACAGACACTACAAAAATGATGTAGTGTCCGTAACCATGATATTATTAAGATTTTTATTTCATCAAAATAGGCTTAATTTCTAGGTTCTATGATGTCTACATTGCTGCATCATAATTGTCTTATGATTAAAATTTTATGAAAATTATGAAAACAGATAACTGTTAAAAATATTTGAGCTGATAGTAATCCTTCATGTAATAATTTGAAACCAGAAAATCTTATTGTAAAACCCCCAATTTGTTATCAATTTGTCATAAACTCAAAAGATGAGTTCTTTTGTAATGTTAGGATAAGAAAATTCATCTTCATAATTATTTTTCCGGTTTTTATATCTTCATATTATTTTTGTAGTGTCCGTAACCCAGGGTTTTTTTTATTTAAATATTTAAATTAAATATCTTTTCATTTTTCAAAATCTCTTGTATTTCTTCCTTCAATTGATTTATACCATGAATACTAGCATGCAGATTTGTTAAAGATCTGTACTTGACATTAGTATATGACATTTTATAAAATACACTAAAAAGTTAATTTAATGAACTCAAGTATATTTGAAGGTAAATTTTGCTTTATTTTTGTTTTATCTACAATTCTGGTAGTGTCTTATGATAGAAAAACATTTATTTCATGAAGTTTTGTGGAAATGGCTACCCTTAAATCAACAAAAAGTGTATTACTTTTAGAAAATTGTTGGAAAAAGTAGCCAGTGTGTAGTGTCCGTAACCATCAACATTTCTTTTTTTCTGATTAACAAATGTAATTCTAAGGATTTTCTTTTCAGAAATATATTTGTTATCATTCCTTTAAGTGCATAGTACCTACTTTGTTAAGATATGCCTATGTTTTTACTTCAGATTTGAAATGATAAACTTGGTCCCATCCATGTCAACATGTCATGTATGTTTACATGTAAATAACTTTAATTACATATATTTATTCACAATCATGGATCATTCTGTTGTTAAAAAATGTAAACAATGAAAAGAAAATACACAAACTTAGTATGTTACCCATGAAAAGTTATTCAAATTGATAAAATTATAAACATAAGATCAATGTAGTGTCCGTAATTCAAATAACTTACTGAGTTTATTTTAGGTACTATTTATGTAAGGAATACATTTTCTGCTGTGATTTATGTTCCCATGAATAGAAGGTCAACTCTTAATGATTTTGATTGGCTACCTGTATATAGTCTTTCATATTAAGAGAGGTGCTGTTCTTACAATAATCCTTATTTACGTATTAAGAAAGGGGGTATAATTTTGCAGAATTCAAAAGTTAAACTTTATTCCTGTGATTTCTTTTGTTTGGTATTTTGTTGATAAATTGCATTGGAATTATAATTATGCAAAAAGACTTGGGATAGTTCATTAAAGCTGAGACTACTATATATGTGTTATAGTAGTCTCAGATTAAAGACATAAATTTGTAGAGGTTAATTTTACAAGTAGTGTCCGTAACCAGCACTTTCCTTACCCCATACAAAATAAAACACTTCTCATTGTTTTTTCCACTAGGCAAATGAGTTTTACATATTTCAAGCATTACTTATTCAAGATAACAAATTTTGTTTCTATTATGTTGACCTTTATTTTTGACCTCAAGAGCAACCTTACTGTTCCCTTTATTGTGTTTTACCCGAATCTTTTTGGAAAGACCGTCTGTCCGTCCGTCCGTCCGTCCATCCATACAGATCTACAAATATAATTGCAAACCAAAGACTTAAAAAAAAATTGTATTTACTGTCACTATGACGCGTAGCATATAAGACTTTAAAAGCAGATTGTTTTCGAGTTTTGGATATATAATTAGCCAATGAACCAGCACCTTAACAACACAAATTACCAAGTATTGATATCTACGGGTTATATTTCACGGTCTTTCTACGGACTTTTGTGAGCCTCATTTTTAGCATGTAAGAAATAGTATATTCCACGTGTCGTTCTAGTGCACAATGTGTTATATTCTATGCAACATGATAATAGTTTTAATATGAACTCGTCATTAGTGGTTGGGTAAATCAATCAATCAACATTTTCCTTTATTGCAGATCCACCGCATGCAACTATAGATAATATATCATCTGAGCAGTTTAATTCCCTGATTAACATCAATCTTACTGGATACTTTAGATTTTGCAAGGTAAGGCCATGTCGCTAAATAGTGATATATTGTATAGACGTTTTTCGTCTATTGTTGAAGACCATAATATTATGTGTCTTTTGATTTGTGTGTACAAATTTTGCTGCCTTATTGAAATGAACTCCACATTTCATGTAAATGTGAAGAGATGTATAGCAAATGTATTAAGAACATTACTGAAGACATGAAAAAATCCAAAGCCTTGACATAGTTCAGACTGCTACCAAATATATTGATATATAAACTTGAAATCGTATACCGTATTATAAGAGGTAGTCATTTCGACAAGGCACAAAATCTTAAAGAAAACCAAATTTTAACAAAAGTGAACATACTTCTCTGAACTAGACTCATGAATGATAACAACTTTAATTCCTTAATTCGAATAATATATCAAATTTAGTTAGTTTAGAGAATTAACTGTTGACTCTCCGGATCCTACACCACTGATGTGGACATACCCTCTAGTGTTTGAAAATAAGGAAATATTGGAAGTGAAACTTTATCGTGAAGCGTACCTATCGGTTGCCTATAATTGCTTACATCCACTTCATTTGAACTTAAGTGGATAGTTGTCTCATTGACAATCATACCACATCTCCTTATTTTTCTATCGTGAGAAACTTTATCGTAAAGTGTACCTAGCCTGAAACGGAAAAGGCACATTTATCTATTACGAAAACTTTGAAATGGTTAGAAGCGTTACCAGTGTTTTGTGCAATTTTATTTGATTATCATACTATTCTTTATTGCTTAATGTAAAGTCCTGACGGATTAAAATGCAATCATTTCATATATACTAGAAACATACAACCTATGGCAAGAGCTCTATACTTTAAATATGGATGTGTTTAACTTTCTCGATGAGAAAGTGAGTTTCGTAAAATTTTCTGAAATTTGGTATCGTCGTAACGAGAGAAATAAAATCATAATCAACAGAAATGATACCTTATGCGGAGTATTTAATGGGTTGCAAAAATGCAAATATATATACAATATTTATCTTTGTTGTAAAAAAGGATAATGTTGGTTTAGATTTATAACATCGTTAACTAATTTAATTTTTTTTATATATTTTGAAAAGCTAAATATTATTTGCTATAAAAATTGCAAGTACCTGAATTCAAGGGAGGTAATCTTTATTTATTATGAAGTATTTGTATGTTGTCAGTCGTTATTGATCTTGCAGTTATTTGTCTCTCACGATCAGTTAGTTTTTTCCTTGAACAATGCTAGTGTTTCCATTGAAATGAATGCAATATTGGTCAGTATTGCGATACTTAAGGGGCGCACAAACCCGACCCTTATCTTTTTTTTAATCCGAAGCCAAGGATACGATTTTAACATGTTTAAAGGGGTAAATTCAGTAAAAAAACCTCCCATTGACTTTAATGCAAATCTATGTCTTGAATTAAATTTATACCAGATTTACCACCTTTAGAAATGAGAAGCTTTCATATATCATTCATTAAAGTACAAATGTAGCCTCATCTTTTGCAACAATAAAAACATAGGGTCATGCGGCATGTTTGGGCATTCACATGGCCTTGTTCATTGTTGTTTACAAACACTGTAAGTCACTGTAGATTCGCACTTAATTCCTATACTGACCATTACTTTTCAACCCTGTAGTAAAGATCAGTAAACAAATTAAGTGCATTCAGCATTCATTTTTTTAAACTTTAGTTTTGATCCATCTATCAAAAAATATCTATTACAAACATTATCTACCAAACAGAAGAGCACAGGCCTTCAGTGTTATACACTCCCCCAGATGGGCGGTCCCTTATGACGTATATCTATTTACTGAATTTACCCCTATAAGCACACGGCTGAAGTCATAACAAAATCTAAATTTAGAATACTACAGATAAGTGTTTACATGGACTTGTTAAAATCTAAGGCCAGTATATTTATGGTCACAAGCATGAAATGAGTTTTAAATTTTGCAATATATTTCTTGTAGGTCTGTAGTTCTATAATATATGACCTCGGGGGTCGAAACTCAAAGACATATATTATAGGACTACCGCTTTGTTACATTGGTACATCAAATTATCATTTAAACAGTCTTTTTCGGACATCAATAAATTCAGCGTAGGCATCAATAACTTTGGTAAAACTTTAATGGAATGCTATGAACTTTTGTCAAAGGAAGAACTTCATGATAGAACAAGAATAAGAATATTTTATTTCCCAGTTAAAAGGCCCTATAAAGATCGCTTTTATCACATTACATATAAATACAGAAGACTATACATAAATTTAGAAACATATAAGAAAACAACACCATTTAAAACTATAAAAATGCTATAGAAGGGCAGGATAGAACCAGATAATACCAGTGGCGGATCCAGAATTTTTCATAAGGGGGGGGGGGGGGGGGGGGGGGGTGGGCTGACTGACCTAAAAGGGGGGGGGGGGGGGCGCTCCAGTCATGCTTCAGTGATTCCCTATATAATCAACCAAATTTTTCCCACAAAAGGGGGGGGCCGGGTTCTAGTTGGTTGTTTTATTTTTCCGCAATTCTAAACTGATAAATGGACTAAGTTTTGGAAGTCAATCACGTGCTGTCAACTACCAGTAGCGTAGTTTAAATCTTATTTCAAGTGAGGCAAACGATTTGAGTCTTTGCAGTCAAAGCCTCAACATGGTTTTCAAAGACCGCAATGACAGTACTGATAGGGAGTGGACGGTTAATGGCAAGTCAGAGTCGCAAAATATAGTTTTTAGCATAAATTTACAAATGGAAAAAAAAATCGAATTTTAAACAGGTTTGATTGATTGATTGATTGATTGATTGTTCACATCGAGTGACAAAAACTACATGCAATTCCAGGACAAGAAAAAATTTAAAAAATCAAATAGATATAGAAAAAGAAGAAGAAGAAGAAGATGCTTTATTTCCATCAAATGGGCTCACAAGGAGCATAATATAATATCATGATAATATTATTTTTTACAAATATAATGAACAATACAGTATACATAGTTACAAACACAAATAAGAAACAACAGTCTTCACATATTCGTATATATATAGGAGTATATATAAAAACCTTCGTCTCAGGCACACCTCTAGAAAGTAACAAAAAAAATAGAATTCTGTGAGTAGGCTAAATATATCTAGCTTAACTGCAGGAGGCACCAAGGGACGGTGCTATATGGCATGGTGGGTGCAAAAATAATATAAAATGTATTTGTACTCGTTACGAAACAAGAGAAAAGCTCGGCGAGCCTCGCTTTTCGTCCTATTTCTTAAGCTCGTAAAAATAAATTTTATATTTTCCGACAATGTACATATATTGTATATTTATACATTTTATGACAAAACAATTAATCTAAACACGCCTGAAGGCATAAAAGTTACTCGAAGTTTTCTTTTCGAAAAGATTATTGACCGTTTTTAGGATGTTTTCCCAAAATACTGTTTGCCGGTGGTATAGATGAGGGGCCTGATGGGGGGGGGGGGGGGGGGGGGGGGGGGTCTCATCACGATTCACGAGTTGATTTTTTTGTCAATCACGATTCACAGAAAATAAATTTCCATGATCACGGATCACGAAAATATAAAAAAATAAAAAACTGTAAAAAACGGATCACGATAGCGAAAATGCGCCGATCACGATGAACGAAAATAACCCATGAGGCCCCTCATAGATCCAAATTAATGGAAATGTAACCTTTCATCATTCTGAGGAACAAGCTTTACCATAGAATACTGTAGCTAAGTAATAGACTAAGAGTGCATTTCTTTCTAACAAAAATTTTGTAAACGTTGTATGGCGTTTGTTGTTGTTTTCTAAACGCTTCAAAAGTAGAAACAAATACATCGTTAAATCAGTGTTTACTGACCCTGTTTGAACTTCCAATAATGCATGCACATGTTGTTGGTAAACAGACTTTTTGCAAACATAGAAACAAATACATCGTTTAATCAGATTGAAGTTAGAAACAAATGTAGCGTTTGTACTAACAAACGATGGACGACACACTGTAGACGCATTTTTAGCGAGTGCATAGTTTGTCAAAGTTTATGTAAACTTTGCAAACGTATGTTAGAAACAAATGATCAAAACATGTGCGCGCTTAGCCGTTTGCATCGTTTGTGTTAGAAAGAAATGCACTCTAAGTTGTATTAGTGGGATGATTTTCCTTCTTCTGATATTTTGACTTTTCCAGTGAGGAAAGGCCTTTTTAAAAAAATTACTTCATATTTGGTAATGCGCAAGAGTGTAAAAAATGAGGAGGATAAATAGAAATTGAATTACACTAAAAGTATGATATAGGTTGCTTAAATGCAAATTTTACTTCAAATATTCAATACATATTCAATTCAATATCAGTTTAAATAAAAATTATGATGTTTAGATATTTTAAGTCTAATATTTTTATTTTTAAAGTTCAAAACTTCATTTAAAAAAAGAAAATTGTAATCAGTATATTCAAGGGAGGTAATCGAAATTATTTTTACAGTTATAAACACAGCAAGGTGGGTCACTGTCAACCGAGTTTATTTTATAGACTACTGTATAAAACCTCATTTTTATCCAATTTTCGATCATTTATCGTGATTAAAATATCGTTGTGAGAAATGAAAATGAGACTCAGAGTGAGATATGCCGTGCTGTCGCCATAGGGAGATTACATGTTGATACTTCGGAGGATCCGGAATGCACTTCGACCCTTTCAGAGGGGCGTAAAGGGGGATATCTACACGGAAGAACGCGAAATAAAATTGCCATTTCACGATGAACGAACAATTAAAAATTTCTTGCACGTTGATCTTTTTACCGATTTCACTAAACACTGTGAATAACGAACCTTTTTCACGGCTGCACGTGAAATAAAAATGGCAAAACACGTTTTACGAAAATAACCCTTTACCACCCTCCTTTCAGATTGGGGCGAGCAGCTGAGACATCCAGTACCCTTATCCTATAATATGTGCCTTCGCATTATCTTTTAATTATTTAATATTTTAGGCCGATATTTTCACG